CCTAATTAGAGCCCTTAGGGCCTGCACATGCTCAGTCAGAAGCCGAACATTAACGCACAGTTGTAGTTGTTTGAAGTTCATTTTTGCACATAAAGACATAAAAAACCCTCTGATATCCATCGCTATTTTGTCCACAATTCCGTCCCAGTTAAAGCTCCACAAGTTCCTCCGTACAAAATGTTGTATCTCCATCCATGAGTTTTTAGTAATTTGACTATCTTTTATAAAGGTTTGCTTCCGGGTACAACAGTCGCAATCTGGAAGCAAATAGTAGAAGCAAAAATGCAGCGTTGGAGTGTTTTCAGCATAAACAAACACTCCCACAAACTTCTGACCAATCACACAGTAAGTTCTTATGTGGAGGGTGAAAGGTTCTCCCGATGAGTTGAGACAAGATGAACGACTCGAAGCGGCAAATAAAATGGCATTTTTTGTCATGCAACTGCAATGATGAGAGACTTTTGCCATTAACGACTGGAGTCAGTTGTCTGTTAGCGAAATATCTCATGAACCCCTATGTGACCCAAATCAAGATGGCAGCACAACCAAGTGAACTTAGGAAAAACGACTATAACTCTGTCAGTTTTATAGATATTGAGCTAAATTTGGTGTGGTAGTTATTGAGAGCCACTCAGAATACTGAGCATGATCACACAATATCACATGAAATTTACAAGATTTAACCAAAAATGCCCTTTCACAGCATGAAAGGTGGCGTCCTATGCGCATTCATTCAAGAAGAGCTGTTTCCACTTTCCACGTTTCTTCCAGGTGGAGAATGAGTTTAAATCTGAGTACGAGGAGCTTTCTCAGCAGTGTAAACAATTCGCCAAGGACCTCCTGGACCAGACGAGGAGCTCCAGAGAGCTCGAGATGATCCTCAACTACAGAGACGATGTCAACCTGTTGGAAGAGGAAGGCAACAACGACCTCGCAAGGCTCAAACTGGCAATCAAGTACCATCAAAAAGAGGTACAGTTAATGAGCAACGCTGATCATCTTAAGAAATGAACCTTGACGTTTGTATTTACCCATTTAGAGAAAAGGCAGAGCTGATGAGTGGATGCTGCGTGCAAATCTGATGCAGCAATTATATCACCGTTAGTTTATGCTCTAGGGAGAAAAACAAGATGCGGCAGAAATGGATGCTTGTTGGTACTGTTATCATTTTTACGATGGGCACACACACACTGAGTTACACCTGCCCYTTATTTCACCTCCATAACTGTGTTACTCTGCAATATTCTATTTGCAGGCTTTTAAATTGTGCAATAAGAGACCATATCCTATTTGTTATTTTTTCCTTGGTTTGCCTTATTATGCTTGATGATACTTTGAGTCCTGCATGCCCCCTGGCAGCATTCACCTTATGCTGTTTCAGGAACACTGCCAAAACCAAAACCTCAGCCRCATCGAGCCAAGGTGTTACTGCCARCTGTAATGRTGTCAGATTAGCATCTCATTTAAGATCCTCATACTGTATGTTGAGTTTCACCTGATTTTTGTTGCCTGCTTTAGGTTTTGGCTGCATAAACGGCAAACAGGCATAAAAAACCTAAACTAACTGGTCTTGTTTGAGGTCTTCTGCCTCAAAAATGACCATAGATTTACAGCCAACTTGCTTTTTTTTTGGTCTAAATAAAGTCAGACATCAGAGAAAAACAGCATGGGGGGTGGGCTTCATGATGATCTGTCAAGTTCGATTTAAAACAAGTACAGCACATCTGCTTATAAACCTGGCAGGCAGAAATATGGAAATGATGTGTGTGGGGAAAAATTAAAATAACACCTTTGTTTGCTTTGCTGTTTGAAGCCAGCAGAAAAACAGGACCACACACTTTATTTTACATTAATTTAAYACGAAAATAAATTGGCCTCTGACAGCCATTTTGGATAGAAATCTTTTTAGATCATACAAAAGATTACCTGCTCTTATCTTCGATTTACCTACCTYTTATTTAAATTCAAAACTACAGGAAAACCAAGTCACAATATTACTAAACCAGAAGCTTAAATGAGACATATCATGCTTTTAAATCCTTGTTTTTCACATTTAAATCATTCATTTACTGTTTAAATAGAGTGGAAATGCGATGCTTTGGTCTGAATTTCTCGTTATTGTAACTCCACAATCCTCTCTTTCACCCCTTTTCTGAGAGGTGGCTCGTTTTGATGCTGTCTCTTTAAATCCAAACGAGRGGCTTCACACCCCGCCCCTTCATCTTCCATAGCAGTTCATTCTAGATTAATAGAGGGGTTTATGACTATAGAGTAGCACAGAAACTTTTTTTTTACAAATAAATAAAAGATGAAGGAGGAGATTGAAGACAACCAAATTGTAGTTGGTAAGTCTGGACCTTATTCAGCAGTTCTGTAGCGTAATAGTTCAGAAAACATAATGGAGAATAGGTAAACTTGAACGGGTTAAAAAATATGACCCAAACCGAATATAAAGATATCTAAATTTTACTTTTCTGCACTCCGAGTGACTCCAAGTACACAACAAAATGAATTTAACAACTAGAAAAGTGGATTTTGCATGATATGTCCCCTTTAAAACTAAAGTAAATGGACTAAGTTACTATCAGTAATGACGTGTCCTTAAATATGTCATCAGCATGAAACACTGCAGCAAATCTGGGATTCAGGCCACTTAGACCAGTGTAAACTCCTCAACAACTTGTTTTAATTCTAAACAATATGAGTATTTTTGTTTTTATGCAGCAAGCACACATTATTAGTGCCTTCCTCCTTCCTCTCAAACCACTTAAGCTTCAAAATACGTGTCTGCTCCAAACCCCGAGTCCTGACCAGCAGAGGTGCAACACAAACCCCTGGCTGGTTGCAGCAGATGTTCACCCTCGAGTCTGGTTTAGCTGAAATTCTCTTCCTGTCAAAAATGAGTTCTTCTCTCTCTCTCTCTCTCTCTCTCTCTCTCTCTCTCTCTCTCTCTCTCTCTCTCTCTCTCTGCTGTTGCTCACCACCCAATACTTAGACAAAGAGACTGAATTAAAGATGGATTCTATAATGGTTAATTCACAGAAAGTGGCAGCACTCAATTGGACTTTAATTTAATTGAGTTAGGTTATGTAGATGGAGTTAATTGGATAAAAATGTACTGTAGTTAATTAATTCATTTAAATCTTGTTCAGTGAAACTATGAAATTAGGCTTCAGCTTAAGTACCGTCCTTGTATGAGGTGACTTTACATGATGTAGCATGTATAAGTCAATTACAGGGTTAAACATGTTAATACCCCAGTTATTTACACCTTTGTTGTGTTTTTACTGGAGTCACAGGTTAATTGCTTAGTGCTGTGTGTATATAAGAAAATGCTCCCACGATGCCCTTTAAGAGCCACAGTTCCTCTAGGTTTAATGGATGATAAAAGAAACACAGTTTTCAATGCACTTACAAAGAAACGGTGTGGCTTCGGGCTAAAGAAAGTAGTTAAATAGATATTCTAGTGCAAAAAAATCAGTGGAACTTAATGGCATAGCAAAAAATATAAATAAACAAATAAATAAAACCTAAAAAAAAGAAAGAAAAAATTATGAAGAAGCAAACCCTTTACTCCCAGGAGCAACTTATGTTTCATTTAACCGTCTTTCGCTTCGAGCGCCGTCTGACAGTCAGAGCAGCTGCTCCTCTGGAGGAGTCTCAATTTATGGCAGTGCTGTTTCTGTCCAGTTGCTTTGCATCATTAACACACGCTGGCAGATGAGTATTTTCAGAAAGATGGTGAAAATGGACATGATGATGGACAGTCTGTCTCTGGCACAAGCTGTAAACAAACACCTTTTTTTGGTTCCTGGGGCTCAGTTGTACCTCCAAGGATCTTCTATCTCCTCAGCTGTGTTTTAATTATCCAGAAGATGTGCCAATACACCCTGCTGCTGCTGCATCCTGTCATTAACATCTTTCCACTGGGAACAATCCACCTTTTTTAAATTAGCAAACATTATCTGAGAAATTATCTCAGAAAAGACCATTTTGTTGTTGTCGTTGCCTCGCATAAAGATGAACAATAAAGTTGTCTGAGTATGAATGTGTCTGTAAGCAAAACTTTTCATGACCAACTGCAGAGAGTTTAATGTATGTCTACCACTGGTGAATTTTGGGTGAGACCAGGGGTGTCACTAGGTTTTAAGGACAAGGGGGGCTTAGCCCCCAGGAGACGCACAGAATTTTTGTATACTAATATATATATATATATATATGCGTGGATTGGATAATGGCTCACCAAAGAGGATCTCTATCTTAAACGGCAAATTAAAGGGAAACTGATTTATGATCATACGTTTTAGTTAATAATGAAATATTAAATGGTTATTTATTCTGACCACATCATATTGAATTTTTGTAAAAATAAATTAATTAATTAAATTAAAAAAATTACACCAAAATAATTTAGGGGGGCTTTAAGATATTTTAGGGGGCCTGGAGCCCTCTAACATAGGCCTAGTGACGCCACTGGGTGAGACTATGAAGAGCTGTTTGTCTCATTTGTCTATGTGTCCCTGTGATGGATTTGTGACCTGTCCATCATCGCACACAGTGACTGCTGGAGATAGACACCAGAAAGTGGATGGATAATCTTATCACAATTTGATTTTTTATGCTCTAAATGATTCCAAGTCAGTTTAGACTTCAGTTGCTACTTTAATAAATAAATAAATAAATAAATAAATAA